TACCTACCTACCTACCTACCTACCTACCTACCTAAACTATTAGTAGAAGCTAATGCTTCTGGCCTCTACTCAACTCAACAAATCTAATATACGTTCGTAATAGCACGGATAGTAAACACCATTGTGATCTACACCAGATCCGATACCCTTTATGCTTCTATATGAATAAAAAATAACTAGAGTAACACCTTTGTTTGTTTATTCGGCAAAATTCAGTTCAAAATAGACAAGTGAGACAAAATTAAAGTGAACGCGAGCTGTCTTTGATCTGCGATCAAAATCTCAAAGTAGCTCTATTTTTTCATACTGCGATAACAACAGATGTTTACTGATTGTATGTGGCGGAAGTTGCAAAGCCCAGTAATAAGTGTTCTACAATCTTCGATATGGAGTGAATATCAATCTAGTGCGCCCACGTAGAATTGGTATTGCTTGCTAAGTAGTTGCTTTCCTTTCTTTCTTTCTTTCTTTCTTTCTTTCAAGATCCCCCGAATTTAGGTATTTGGTTATATGCATATTGTTTTCGGCTTTTCTTTTCTTCCTTTTTTATGATTCCATTCTGGAATTTTTGTTGGGAAAAACGAACGAAATGACGGAGCAAATGATGTAAAAGCTTGGAGTAAAATATAAAACCTAACGAACCTAAAGAATTCAAAAGACAGTTAGTTCAACGCGATGATTTTTAACTTACGACGTGAATTTTTTTTTCTTAACAATCAACACCAGTAGTAATTAATGTTTGAGGTCCTCTATTCTTTAGTTAAATTTACTGTACTCATTCTCACCCTAATATCTAACGGGATTCAAGATCTCGTGCACAAATTAGGTTCCACAATCCTTTGCACCACGAGATGGTTCCCAGTCTTCTTTTAAACACTGGGTGGAAATTTGTTGGGGGTCGTCATGTGACTTCTCACGTGACATGATTACATGTGATTCACCTTAAATAACTTGGCGTTTATTTTAGGGTATGGTCACGTGACACCATGCACCGTCTCGGGTCGAATCTTCTGTATGATCTACGCTCTCATAGGAATACCGCTGACCTGGCTCATGTTGTCAACGCTGGCTCAGCAGATCAATGATTGGATTGCTAAATTCATGACGTTTGTTTTTGAGCGGTGCTTCAATCGAGTACCTACCAAGATGGGTTGTATTTGCACTTGTGTGAGTGTCATGATATGCACGGCCATGATCCTTATCATCGCTACCTTTGCATACTATTTGGAAGGCTGGTCCTTCATTAATGGGATATATTTTGGCTTCATCACCTTGACAACCATTGGGTTTGGAGACTTTGTCCCGCTGCATCCCTCACAGGAACGATATCCCGAGGAATATCCCGCGCGTATCGTCGTCTTTACCATTACAAGCATAATCTACTTCACGATTGGACTGGCGGTTGTTTCTAGCGTGTTGCTGTCGTTTCGTAACGCCATGGAGGAGACATACCTGGATGGGTTTCAGATTATCAAAGATCAAAGTGACGAAGAAGCAAATAATAAGTCTAAGCTGTTGTTGCGCTGAGAACGATCTGTCACGCTACCGGATCTAAAATTCTCACGTTGATGAACTTCCGTCACGATTATTATTTGTCACACAACCAAGCTTTTGCCTCGCTGACAGTTTCTAACTCTAAGACAGACTGTCGCACTTAAGACGGTAAATGAACTGAGGAAATACCCCTTGTAAACTGGTGATGATAATAATTTTTCACTTAAAACAGTCAAACAAGGTTATATAAACTGCCTTGTCACACCGTAAGCACTCTRTCACGCTTGTCACGCGAGTGAAGTTTCTCACTGACTAACAAGGACATCAACCTATCCGTCTAACGTTTTTTTCGAGAACTGGCAAGTATGTGTGCTTGTGTTCTCTCAAATGTCAGTGCGCAATGTATTCATGTTTCAAGAAAGATTACTTGTAGCATTCCTATGAGTCTGGAGAGGGCTGTATCTGAGATATTTGAGCTAACATGTCAGACATTTGCCTTTGCGTCAGTAACCCCATTTGTTTCGAATGCGCCCGGTGCATGCTGGGTGAAGCAAAACCTTGAATATATAAGCGGGGCTCAGTTTTTTATGGAACGTCTTCAGGGTTGAACGACAATAGACCGTTTTCTCAAGGTTGCGTGCGCATCCAAATTTAAGGAACTTGACAGGCCACGATACCAGAACACAAGGTTTATGATAAGTATTATCATGCATTGCTATGATTTTTTTTTCGATAAGAATTCATAAAATCGATTATTCTCCTCTCTGAATATAAAACTGTCTTATAAATTTTACTGAATTGGCGTTTTTCAATTTTGTGGCCCGTCAAGTTGGTTGCGCACGCAACCTTAAGAAAACGCTATATTCAATCTGTCATTTAATGTAATAACGATACAAATGTTAAATGAATGTCATAACATTCTCTAAGCATAATGTTTTCCCATTACGAACCATTTGGAAATAGGCGAGGTTCCGACGCATACTAAGAACAGTCTGCTACTGATCTCCTTGCACTTACCGGTAAAGAAAAGAAGCATGTCAAAGGAAGTATTCTCACACGGTGGAAAAGACGTTTCAATGGTAGAATACGTTAGATATACTAAAGCCTTCATTTTGTTCATGGAATCGTCGTCGAGAATCATCATGAATACTTCATGATCACTAGTTCTTTCATTTCCTCGAGTTCAGTCTCATTTTCGTGTAGAACATTCACGTGATTCAGTGAAGTTTATAGGATTTAAAGGTATAATATTGACTATTTGTTCGTCGTTTTACGATAGATAATAATAACAATAATAATAATAATAGTTTATTTTTACAATGGTGCACTATACCTCTTCGGCTCTGACGTAATGTTTTCCCATTTCAGACCACGTCATTCCCTAGAGTATCATTTTGCTTGTTTAAGGTTTGCGCTCGGTTGCACATGAGAAGACACATGAGTATGGATACAGCTCAAACAAAGAATCTTATTCTCAAGGGAATGACAGGTGGTCTGAAATGGAAAAACATTACCCCAAGCCGAGGAGGTCTATTGGCATCAATGAATGTAGAAGTACGAAATCGAGACTAACTTTACGTAGATGAACATGGAACTTCGTGAGCACAGCAATAAATAGGAAACGTCATCAAAAAGGCAGCTATTTATAAATTTCGCTTGCCAAATATGACAAGGAGCTGGTCGTAACCAACAGATCATGATATAGTTGAAGTTGCGCAACTCATCTATTTACGCTTTTCGCAATTGCACTTAAGAAAATTCAAATGTCAAGAATACGTATCCATTAGAGACTATGAGTGTTTGAGAAAGGAGGAGTTCAGAAAGAGGATGCTTTCAAGAAATACCCTTAGGGTATTATTCGATATATTTTTACATTAGCGAGTTATTTTTATACATATTTTGCCATACTCCGCTCCACCAACAAAAAGTGAAGAAAAAAAAGACACATTTTATTTAATTATGCCTTTATGAAGTAATCTGCTCTGGGTAAAAAAGGTTATTTGGTTATAATTGATGGGAAATTCGCTTTTCCAGGCAAGATATTTTGAAGGCAATTGATTCTTCTCATCACAGTCTAGGATTGGATGGTAATGAAAAGTTAGTAGAAAGAATGCATTGAAAAAGTGATTTCTGTCGAGGAGAAAAATGCGTTTGACAAAAAACACCATTCACATATTTGACGACTATCCAAGTAGTAAAAACACCTTAATAGTTAAAAAACACCCAAGTTGTTTGGGTACGGGCAATTCAGTTTTCCAGATTTTCCATTCATTTAAGAAGTCAGTTGATAAATATATTCTTCCTAGTCTGTATAACAAAGTGCTCTATCATCAGCTCTAGCGCAAGCAAGACATAGGATAGATTTCCCAGAGTCCGGTCTTTACAATACTAGATGATTATGACGCACACTCGACCACCTGGTCAGGTGTAGACACTGTCCATGTTGATATGGAAATATAACGGACAAATCACGTAACTTGACTTAATTTATCTACTTATGTACAAATTGTTTGTTTGTTTTTTTTTGGCGGGAGGGGGTGGGGGTGTTCAGCCATTAGTCTAAGAGCGAAACAATACATACAAACAAAAATTTCAATGCATTTATTTATTTCCAATGCTTATTTCGATAAAACAATCTTTAAAAAATCTTCGATAAAAACCTTTAGACAAAACTTTCAAATTAAACTCAAAATGCTTTCCTAATGCCATCTGCTTAAATATATTGTACAAATATTTCCATAAATTATTTTGAGAAATATTTTTGGTATCATAAATTAATATCTTCGCTTTGATTATATCAATAAGAATAAAATTTCTTTGATGGTTTGAAATAAAGAAATGTGAAAATCCATTCAGTAAAAAATATTCAATGCTGATCCGAACACTCATTGGCAGAAGAAAACCTAAGGAAATAAGGCAGATAACAAAATTAATAAGGTCAAGGAGGGTTTAGGTATGGGTTTAGGTATGGGTGAGTTGGGAAAGGTGGAGAAGGGTGTGGTGGAGAAAGGGGTAGTGGCTGTTTGGTGGTAGGGGTGAGGTAATAGAGATAGGTGTGGTGTGTGGTGTGTGGGGAAGGGGTAGTGGCTGTTTGGTGGTAGGGGTGAGGTAATAGAGATAGGTGTGGTGGGGAAGGGATAATGGCTGTTTGGTGGTAGGGGTAAGGGGATGGATGAACGGATGGACGGACGGATGGATGGACGGATGGACGGATGGATGGACGGATGGATGGATGGATGGATGGATGGACGGATGGATGAATAGGGCCTACCTCGTGATCACACCCATCTTAGTGATGTCAGCTCTTCTGCTATTGGAGTATTCTTATGTACATTATTCCTGAAAAATTACCCAAGTTGATAGTACCATTCAGTAATGGTGGTGTTTGAAAACAATCAGATGTAGGACTCTCTACAGTATGTATATGTGTTGATGTGCAACGTTATCAAACCATTTTTGGTGTTCCCCAGAACGCTCAATGATATTAAGCAATACAAACTTGAAACATAAAATATTGATGCCCTAAAACAAACTCTGGGCTGAGTAAAGTCAGAACACATGTAATTCCACAGACTATTAGATTGGAAATTAGTTTAAATGCGGAGTGAGAAAAACCAGAGAACCCGGAGAAAAAACCTCGCTAATAATCGCGGATAATAAACCCTGCTACTAACCATGGATTGATGGATCTCTTCCTTGATCCAGACGATATGCCTCTGCCTCCATTAAACAGTGATAATGGCACGCTATACCTTGATTTTTTGGGATGTGATCGTGTAGCTCGACGGTAATGATTGGCGAGGTTGATGCAAAGCAACAAAGTTATAAATGAAAATAGTGTAATAATACCAAATGACATCCATAGGGAATTCTAGAAAGGAAGAAATAAAATGTTAGAGTTTTGAAGTCTTGAGTTATCTGTTGCTAAGCCAGTTTTGAGACTATTTACTTACCAATGAGCCAATGACATGGTCACAAAACACCGAGGCCGATGCGTCAAATACTTTCTTCATTTGAGAACATTCTCCAACCTCGTTTCGATACTAAAAACGATTTTAGACAAGATTTAATTGGATGTGACTGGAATGGATGGATGTGACTGGAATGGATGGATGTGACTGGAATGGATGGATGTGACTGGAATGGATGGATGTGACTGAGATGGATTTTGGTAACATATACCATATTACATCACTCCGACCCATCGTAACAGCGTAAGAATAACTAGATAAAGAAATGATAACTCGCCTTATAAACAGCATTATCAATATATTGATCCAACCAACCAATAATACGATGAAGATAAGCAGTTGCTGCCTGACGTAAAAGAAAAAAATGGAGAAATTAGTTGGTACTGCAACCTTCAATTTAAAGTTAAGCACGGTTTATTATAGAAATATAATCAATATTTATTTAAGGTGCATAGTTAACCTTGATACCTTATTGGATATTGCCAATGCTTCAGAACCTAAAAAACCTTCCAGGTCTTTAACTAGTCTGTTTATATTCTCAATGCCAACCTAACAATCATTAACGTGAGATAAAAAGGATCAAAGCTAGTGTAAAATTGTAGCATTATGTCGCATAATGTAAGATTTACAAAAGGGATAGGGAAGAATGATGTAGGGAGATGAGGGGGGGGGGGGGTATGGGAATCCTTTGGTATTGTAATATGTTCATACAAATGGGGCATTCCTGGACAAGTTTTGTATCTCATGTTCTTGGTTTTTATTGTGAATTGACTTGTGCTAACTTATATATTCTTAGTTGAGCGTCCTTGTACATATATATACACAGTACGTGATTACTATGATGTAATCGAATAACTGAGTGAATTATTACAATACAACAACAAGCAGGGAAGGGTAAAGTGGCCCACTAAACCTCTCTAATGTTGATAACACACTGCAACATGAAGTATTTCACAATTATATAATTACCAATGTTTCATTGCCTTTTTCCTCCAATTGCTTGACTTTACTCTTCAAGATATTCTAAAAAATCAACAATTTGACTAATGAACAAAACAGGATGGCCAGTTATCTTACACAAGGGTAGAGGTAGATTATAATAGAGTTACAGTTTTCTAATAAACCCTTTGTCGCCCACTTCCAACCCTCAGACGATATCATGTCATCTGTGTCTGCATGACTTATGACATGAAGTCGCATCCACAATGTTGACAAAAGATTTTTCTTTAGCTTCCATTGTTAAATGACCACCATTTCTTTGTCCTTTGGCCCTCTTGGGGATGCTTGTAAACAATCATAAATACCCCTTAGCTTTGCTTCTATGACTTCAAAAACAACAGGACAATCATGTCTTATTATTCTGCACTCATGAGAAGTGATGCACACCAAGACCTTACCACAAAACTGCTTGAAGAATCCACGATGTCATAATGAATTATTTGATGTCTGCTAGACAGAAACTCCAGTTTATTAGCAAATGTCTGTGAATGGAAAGGAATAAGGAAATCAGACACAATGCGCAGACGGTACTTACCAGGGTGCCTGTAAACCCTTTACTTTGCAAGACCCACACTGCTGGGTCTTCATCACCCATCTAAGCACAGGAAACTGAATCAATCAAGACGTGTACTARTCTAGAAGTCAAGTAGCACCGGCACAGTACAGATTCAACAAGATCTGTTGAACCAATTACAGCACACTGAATATACTGTTGGTCTCCCTAAAATATCTGATTCCGATTGGCTACCTACCTTAGGTGTATTCACTGTGATATACAGCTAACTAGTAATTCCTATTAGCTGACGTATTTTAAGTAATAAACACAATCAGAACTCTACTAATGTCATGGAATACGCTAGCATGGCAGTCAATTCTTACCGGGCTATCATTTCTTGCAGCATTTGCTAAATCTCTCAGTTGGAAAGCCACATCAATGAGAGATCCATTGATCAGTGGTAGTTCAAACTGAAGACACAAATAAACGATTTTAAAAAGTCAAACCCACCCGCACTCATTCATTTTTCAACCTCAAAAGTAGTCTGTAATCAAATGCGATCTTTGTTAACTTGGAATGGAACATTCTATATTAGGATCACACGTCTAAAATAAGCTTATATATAGGAGTAATGTTATCCTATTCCAGACCATGCTTCATTCCCTTGAGTATTATGTCTTTCTGGTTTTCTCCTTTACTTTTTTCATTTCAATCTTTTAATTAACCTTAGTTTTCATTCAATTTTTTATCTTGCACAAGACTAAACAAATGGCCCCTCCTTGCAAAGTAAATCTCATTCCCCTGAGCATTATGTTTTTCTCTACCAGTCATCCAATCATTTTTATCCATACCTGATCTGCATACTTGGTAAAATCAATGTGATGCACCCCAACGCTGATAGAATCATTGAGTTTTTTATCTGCCTCAGCTGTGACTACCGACACATTGACTATGGTTGAGTTCAACTGTTGGAATATCTCATCCATGGAGGGGATAGTCTAATGAAAGATTGAACATTATGAGCATCAGTTCAAAGAAATATCTAAATTTTGGATCAGTTGTTTGTTTGGGTGTTTGGTTGCAGTTATATGGGGTTATTTATCATGTTAAATATTTAGGTTTTTATGTTTATGGATTAGTTTGTTTTCTCTTTGATATTTAGATTAAGCCAGCATACCCATCACTACTTATGAGATCATTACTAAGGTGAATCTAAATTTAAGACAAAAAAAATGTAAACTTAATTAAACTGAAAAAAACAATATGTTACTACAAGTATTGAGACAAGACAGAGACAGAGGACAGACGGAAATACAGTCAGACAATTGGATGGACAGACAGTCAGAAAATCGGACAGACGGAAGGACAGTCAGACAATATGACGGACAGACAGTCAGACAATTGGACGGATGACAGACAGTCAGAAAATCGGACAGACGGAAGGACATTCAGACAATTGGACGGACAGACAGGCAGACAAATGGCCAGACAGTTAGACCATCGAATGGACAGACAATTGGATGGACAGACAATCGGACGGACAGAAAATCGGACAGACAGACAATTGGACAGACATTCAGACAATTGGACGGACGGATGGGAAAATGGAAGGATAGATGAATGAGGGACAGAGACAACTGGACATACAGACAGAAGACAGTAAAATAAGAGACGGACAGACAGACGGACAGACAGACGGACAGACAGACGGACAGACAGATGGACAGACAGACGGACAGACAGACGGACAGACGGATCGAATGAAAGATTGTCGGGCAAACAAACGATACTCGGACAGATAAACAGACAGACGGACAGACAGATAGTTGGTCGGTCGGACGGAAAGATCGTCTACATTTTCATTGAAAAACAAATGGTAGTGGTAAAAAAAGATAATATAATAAAAAAAAGTAATAAAGGAGCTACATTTGTACAACCAAGTCTTACTAACAAACTAATCTGGTGATAACACTAGTCTAACTCAGGCAAAAGCTTCAGCTTTAGTATAAGGGTTATTCTGGTTAATAAAGGATGGACTATGGTACCATGCATCTGTTAACTCATGCAAGAAAAAGAAGTGTTTATTTACTAACGAGAGATGAAGGTATTGCTTTGTTGATGACTTGATGTAGTGAATCACTCGATCGCCAGCTCTTCAAGTCAATACAGGTACAACTCATTACTTCTCTTCAATCTTTTACAAATCGTTACAAAGATTTAACTTTTAATCCGCCGCTTATCGTAATTATCTTAAAAGGTAAGTTCCTCAGCGCGGGATGCCACACCCAGCTTCTTCCACAGATGACGTCACAATAGTGCATCGTGGGATTGAAATGCGGACGTTGTACAATGTATTTTATTCTCATCGTTTCCATCTAATTGAGGAACAATGGTTTTACGACTGATATTAATTTTTTTTCCCTCGTAATTAAAGTCTTTATTTGTAATGCTATGTTGTTCGCATTTGGATCCCACAAGGTTTTGCGAGCGATATCTATTTTTAGTAACCGTGAAAAATACTAAGAAACCCACATTTACTTATAATCCATAACCACTTTGCCAACCCCCAACTCCCCCCCCCCCCTTGAGCTTGGAGATCCTTCAAACAGTACATCTCCCCCCATCCCCTTGAGGAAAGCGCCTCCAGGAAAGCGTTGTGGTGATCGAGGTAAAATAATAAATCTTATTTATTTTGCGTCGCGATGCGTGGAGTCCTTACCGAGTCTCCCTAGCCAGAGGCTTATGTTTAAATATGTACGACCCAACCCACACTCACTGCACATAATTCTCATTTACTCAACCAGATAATTCAAACTGTTTGGTGTTGATGTTCATCGTAACGTTTATCATTCTACATAATAACTGACTTACATCTGCGTAATTGGTGAGATTTTCTAAATTAAATTTGTTATCCATCTTCAAAAGGGTCCAAGGAGTTTCCTTGTTTCCGCAACCTCTGCAGGAAACAAAATATGAAATGAAGATAACAACACAATGGCAAGAAGGTGTGTGTTTCCCTCAAGAGAATATTAATATTCTCCCTGCGTGCACTTGGCGTCAGCTCGAGCGAACATGCACAATCACCTGCGCGCGCACTTTCTCCAAGCACTTCTTTTCCGTGTAGCCTTTCATACAGAGTTAATGTTACATCAGCTACATCAAAAAACTGTTTTTTAAAAATAATTCATCCTGTTCAAATGAATGATTGATTTGAATAGTTTTCGTACGGAAGAAAAGAAAAAAATTTGAACGGAAATGCACAGAAAGGTATCGCAATATGAATAAAAAGGGTCAAATAATATTCGTTGAATTACAAGACGGATGATACTATACATTAAGATTACCCATAGTATTTTAAAAGCTGAAAATTCGAAAATGAGATGTTTTTGAGATCCAAGATCCAGTCAGCCGACTGGTCCAGTTTTGGCAGTCAGAATGTTTTCAGTTTCACCGAAATATTTTTTTTCCAAGTTGGACAGCAAGTAAGAGTAACCTGTTCTAAGCCTCACCTGAGAACGTCAGATAGTTGAATGTCGATGGTTCCATCGTTGAAAAGCATTTTGGAGATTGGATAATAGCCATAGATTGAATTGTCATCAATAGTCTATAGAAATAAATCATATCGATACATTATTGGATATCTGATATATTATTCCCTTAGGAATGATTACAAACCACCTATAGTGAACGTCATCCAACATGGCTGCCACTTTTATTCTCTTAGGAATGATTACAAACCACCTATAGTGAACACCATCCAACATGGCTGCCACTTTTATTCTCTTANCATCCAACATGGCTGCCACTTTTATTCTCTTAGGAATGATTACAAACCACCTATAGTGAACACCATCCAACATGGCTGCCACTTTTATTCTCTTAGGAATGATTACAAACCACCTATAGTGAACACCATCCAACATGGCTGCCACTTTTATTCCCTTAGGAATGATTACAAACCACCTATAGTGAACATCACACAACATGGCTGCCACTTTTATTCTCTTAGGAATGATTACAAACCACCTATAGTGAACAGCATCCAACATGGCTGCCACTTTTATTCCCTTAGGAATGATTACAAACCACCTATTAGTGAACATCATCCAACATGGCTGCCACTTTTATTC